TACTGAAGTGACTGATGACTTGGTACAAGCGATTAAGAACATCGAACTAGATGATGGTTATCTGCAGACGGTAAGTATGTCCCAGCAACTTCTAACAGACAGTTCACCACCAACTCCAACATCACTGGTAAAGCACACAGACTGGCGTATTAAACAACTCAACGATCCCTTATTGAAACATGTTATTATTAATCTAGAGAAAAACAGGAAACCACATCCACGAGCTACATCACAAGAGGAAGCAGCTTTGAATTGGGAATATGAACACTTCGTCCTTAGATCGGGAACCTTATTCAGGCGCACGATAACTGGTGATGGAGAAGAATTTCGTTTAGTTTTGCCATCTAGCTACAGGAAGCAAGCTCTAAATGGAATTCACGACGCTGTTGGTCACCCAGGAAGGGAACGAACTTTGAGTTTGGCAAAAGAAAGATTCTTTTGGCCCAGAATGGTTAGCGACATCGATGACTACATCCAGAAGTGTGATAGATGCATTCACAGGAAAACTTTACCATCGACATGTCCACTGGTCAGTATAACCTCAAATCAACCAATGGAACTAATATGTATGGACTATGTTTGTGTAGAGGAGTGTAAGGGTGGTTATAGCAATATCCTTGTTATAACTGACCACTTCACTCGCTTTGCACAGGCGTTCCCTGTCCGGAATACTTCTGCTAAGTGTCTTTTTGATTCCTTCATTGTTCACTATGGTATCCCGAAAAGGATCCATAGTGATCAAGGTGCTCAGTTCGAAGGAAAGCTCATTAAGGAACTTTGCAGGCTCACTGGTATGGAGAAATCCCGTACTACACCTTACCATCCGCAGGGAAATGGCCAATGTGAGAGATTCAATCGGACTCTGCTCAATATGTTGGGGACGCTCAACCCTGAGCAGAAATCTGATTGGAAAACTTACGTTGCGCCATTAGTTCATGCATACAACAGTACGAAACATGCCACTACCAACTATTCACCATTTGAGTTGATGTTTGGCCGTAAACCAACATTTTCTGTTGACGTTGTGTTAGGACTAGTCAATACAGAGGAAGAAGCCACCAACTACAACTCCTACGTGGATAAACCCAGAGAGAAGTTGGAGTATGCCTACACCGCTGCATCTGAAGAAGTCGCCAAGGCTAAAAAGAATCAAGCAGGTAATTACAAATACAACCTTAGAGCCAGAAATAACACCTTGGAGCCAGAAGATT